GAGGGTGTAAAAAGGGTGGATAACCCTAATCTTGAATAGAGGGGAACAACTTGTTGAAAACGTAAGGCACAAAATAGAACTTGTAAGTTGTGGGACCCAATACAAATAAATAAAATAAAATAAAAAAGCAATTGATTAGGGTTTGGGTAACTTTTTTATTTTTATCTTAACTTTAAATTAATAAACCGACAGCATAAAATATCTTTTATATTATCATGCATATCAAAAGATATTTATAGGTAAGTTTTTATAAAATATTAAATTTGTAATTTTAAAATAAGATAGACTGTCGCTATAACATATAAAAATGACATGATATGTAAAAAATTATTAAACGGATGGTGTATAATAATTGGAAAAATGACACTATATATATATATATATGTTATATACAAATTTTATACATATTTTCATCTACTAAATAAATAATTTCTGGCGCTGGCTAAAAGTGAGTATATTCCTATATAATTTATAATATTTTTTTCTTTTTATGACACTCTTATCACGTATTTTTCGTGAATATTCTGTTTTGACCATGTTTGTTTCATGCATGCAAGAGATTTGCCTCTAAAAATGTGATGCATGCACCATACTAAAGATCGAGGAAGAACAAAACTTCGTGTAGTTAACAACGATTAAGATTTTTAAATTTAGTTTGTATTTTCTCAATAGACAGTATAATTTTTTTTTTAATACTGTGAGTTGACTTATTACAACAGAATACCATTCATATCAAGGTTGATCGATATATATTAACCTATAAATTCAAGTACAACGGTTTAAATTTTATTAAAATATATATAAAAAATATCGTGTCAGTATACTTCTTCAGAATATACAAAATAGTTACTCTACCCTACGTCGAGCCAGAGTTTGCTTCCTTTCTCTAGCTTACATCCGTTTTCTAACTCGTCTGTTTTTTTGCTCCATTCCCGAGCTCCTCGATCAATAGGTCCGGGTTATACAAGGTAGCCACTAATTATATAAACCAATAAATAGATTATTGAAAGATCGATAGGTAGATCATAACACATTTAAAGAGTGATGTTTAATAAAAGGGTATAGATTTTCAAATTGTAAAATATCATTCATGTAACATAGAGAATGTAATTACAAGGTTTATATACATTAACTGCCACCTTGACTTACTTCTTTTTGGTAGTAACTATACCTATAACTATAAATTTATCTCTATCGTTATAGATTCTCTATAATAATAATAATTGTTATTTGGGATTGAAATATAGTTATTGTTATTTTTGTTTGTTATAGATCGTCTATGATAATGTCTTTTAGATAGTTACTTAAGTTTCCAAATTAGATAAGTGACCATTTTTTCACGAAAAAGAATCAGATTATTAACTGTTCATTCATTTTAGGAAAGGTGAGGGAGTTCATCATTAACTATTGTTACAGCCTTATTTGTATATAGGGAACGGTCTAGAATTTTAATTATATGAATTCAGGATTCGGGTTTCAACCACTAAAGTATTTATCCCGGTATTTGAGTTATGGTTTCGTAATTCAATATTTTCAGCAATTCTAGCGGGTTTTATAGAGATAAATCCTGATCTAGAATAAAAATTATGAATTCAAATGAACCCACGCATACACCAGTGGTGAAGCCATATGGTCACAAGAGTGGTCAGTTGACCACCTTTCGTCGAAAAATTATACTGTGTATATAGGTAAAATATTACGTTTTAGAGGTATATAACACATATTGAACACTCTTTTTCGGGAGTTTTTTTTTTCACTTCTTTCAAATTTGAATACCCTTGAAAAAATCCTTAGCTTCGCCACTCACATATACTACTAGGTCCGCCCTTGTAAACGGTATGTACAGGCTCTTTCTTTTTATTTGAAGTAACATTTTGTCTTGCAATAATTTCTATGGGTATTATCACTTTTAGCCCGCGTTAGAAGCTATTTATATTCGGTAGCCGAAAAAGTATATAAAATTTATATAATTTCTATATATAACATACACAATGTATATATATACAAAATTTATATATTTTTTCGGAATGTTATTTTTACAACGGCTATACAGTGTCATTTTTCCTTATTCTTACGGTAAGTGCAAAAGAATATGAATACTAGGAAACATATAATTTTGATATTTGTATTATTCTTCGCAAAACAATCTATTCAGTCGACCATCCATTTTATTTACCTTCTCACTAGGTCCCAATAAATCATAAATGATTCTTATGGTACAAGAAAGCTAAACGAATGATTTTTCTAAATAATTATGCTCAACAACAAAAGTACTTTGTCCTATGCATTACCACGAAAAGCCAATGATGTGACAGAAAACTAATAATACTACTAGTATTCTTTTTCCTTCACTTTACATATGTTGCATGGAATAGTAAGTATTAGTTTATTTTTAATTGGCAGAATAGTCTACGAGACACTTGTACTTATTCCGATTTGTCATCCTGGTCCCTACACTCCATAAAGTTTCATCCAGACACTTCATCTTAATCAAAACAAGACTTTTAAACACCTCCGAAATCGTGTGATGCTCACTTGCTTGACGTGGATGACAAATCAGCATCCACATCAGATTCTATACCAAAATAATATTATTTAACAAAATTTTAATTTCATAAACAAAAAATAAAATAAGAAAAGCAAAAAATTAAAATTAATATTAAAGAAAACCCCTCTTCCCTTCTTCAAACCCACCCCCTCAACCTTCTTAAAACAATAACCCACATGCCATGGCTCCTCCACCATGAGTACGAGGAGGGGGGCGACATAGGACCTTTGAGTTTTCTCTCCCTCTCTCCCCCCGTGGCCATTCTGTTAGTCATAGAGAAATGGACCCTTCTCCTGCTAGTTTCAATAGAAGACAAAAATGGAGTTTTGCTCTTTGCTTTTTATTTACACTCACTGCCATTTCATGTGAGTTCTTCACCTTTTACTTTTTCTTCTTCTTCTTCTTTGTTTTCTTAGTATTTGCAATTCTGTTCACAGAATATTCAGTTGAATTCTGAAGGAATTTCGTTAATTGGGCTTTAAAAAACTATGAAAAATAAAGTTAATTAACACCATGATCATGGAATTTCACTCTTTAGCTTTACTTTAGAGAAGTGAAGTGTCATGTTAATGGGGGG